ACTTATTTCCATTTGTAGGTGAATAAGACTGACCATGAGTTGACTGTTCTCGGTGTTGGGTCACAACTGCCCAGAGACTATTGTATTGTTCTTTCTACTTTTCTGTATCCTTGAAGTTCCACAGAAAATGAAATATGATAAAATAAAGTCACAAAAATTCAGATTGAGTAGCAGAGGTGGAACACGTAGGTGGGACACGTAGGTGGAGATGAAGAGAAACAGGTTTCCTTTGTTGAAAGAAGAGTTCTTTGAGGCAGCTGAGGCAACTGTGCTGCTGAGTCTCCATGTCGGATGGCATTTCTTAAAGGGACAGATCAATACTTTTTGGGATTTATGGATTCTGCTGAAAGGATTGCTGAGACTTGGAGACAGCCACAAGAAATTTGACAATAAGTCATCATGGCTATGCTCCAGTAAAACACCATAAACAAAATCAGGAGGGTAGCTCACAGGCCAGAGCTTGTCAGTTGGCTACAGAATTAAAGCCAGCTTAGAACAAATCAGGTCCACTTCTTTGTGCCTGATTACCCTGTCCAAAACCTTCTGTAAGGAAAAAAAATTCTCAGGTACCTTCTCTGGGGCTGATGATTGCAGGAAACTACTAACTGTTCACTGGCCTTGCCTTTCTTCTTTGCAGCAAGATTTTAATTTTTCAGTGATGATGACCATTTATAAATATCCTGAGATTCCTCAGTCCTTAAATTTTGACCACCTGATTAAATTTTGATCACTAACATATCAATAGAGATCCATTTCATGATCAAAACTACAAGAAAATAGATTATTTTATAGTTTTTTTGTTATTTTTTTTAATGATAGATTCAGATAGTGTGTCTGTGTCAGCAATCATTGCCTGGGTATAATTATAGAGCCCGGAGCAGCCCTGGCCATTTTTAACAACGGGTAAAAGTAACAATCCATCCCATGTGCAGTCACCAAAGGTAGATGGTGATGTGGAAGTCAGGAAGTGCATGCCGATAAGGGCCTGATATGGATGTACCCTCAGAGGCCTTCAAGAGTCTGACATATTCAGAGGCAGAGGCTCACAACTAGCCATTGAACTGATCATGGGGTTCTCAATGGAGGAGTTAGAGTGAGGACTGAAGGAGCTGAAAGGGTTTGTGGCACCATGAGGAGAGCAACAATACCAACCAACCACAGCTCCCAGGGTCCTAACCACCAGCCTGGGAGCACTTATGGAGGGATCCAGGACTTCAGCTGAATATGTAAGAGTGGATGGCCCTGCCGGGCACAGATGGAAGATGAGATCCTTGACCTCATGAAGGCTGGACGCCCCAGGGGGTGGGAAGTTTGAGGGTGGGGAAGTGGGAGTTGGGGGGGTAGGCTGGGGTTACATCCACAGAGAAGAAGGAGGAGGGGTAAGGGGATGGGGGGTTCCCGGGTGGGTGGGGGATGGGGTAAGGGGATAACATATGAAATGTAAATAAAATATCCAATAAAAAAAAAAAAGTAACAATCCACAGTGGAGACAGGAACATCATGGAGACACTGTCAAGATCCTGCACTGGCTACCTGGCTGTCATGCTTCAAATGAAAAAGAAAGTCAGAAACTGTTAGTCCACTGTGGTAAATTCTTTACTTCTGGAAAAAGAGCAATTGGTCTTCGTGCTCCCCTCCTGGTGAGGAAACCTTCACTCATGCATCTCCAACCACTCTGGCTTCCTCCATGTTCTTGGAATCTGCCAAGCTGGCTTCTGCTTAAGACTTTGGTTTTGCTCCTCTGAGTTGCTAGCACATCCCATTCAAGTGTCTCTTCAAATGCTACTTTCCAAGCTGTTCATTTGCACTCAGAGCCACTGTCTATATTCTGCCATCTTCTGTGTTGCATCTGCTACAGCTTGATTTCTATGCCTTCCATGAAGGGGATAAACAGCATTACTCTCCCCCTCGTTCTGATTCCTTACAGCATGCTTTTCTCTCTTCTCGTGGCTCTTTTCAACATCTGATGGCATTCATATCTACTGATTTGCTTACCAGCTGATTTTTCCACCGATATGTAGTAGGCTTCATGGGAGAACACATCCTTTCATTTCTGCTACATCCTCAGTGTCCAGCAGAGGGCCGGCCCCAATTGCAGATGTTCAAATAGATACAGCAGTGTTTTCTGATTTATTTAGCATACTGATAAGCCCTCTAAGTTTCAGGCATGTGGAAACATATATGTCGAACTCTTCTCATAAGTGGATGATTACTTCTCCAAGGGAGTGACTAGGAGAAACAGCGTTTCTTGGGTCTTGATGTACTTTAGTGACCATTTTAGTGACCACATTTTTGATTTGCAGCAGTTAGAAGACAGTAGAAACAATCATTTATATTGAAAATAGATACTAAGTGAAGACAGGATATCAGCACTATTTAAGAAGAGTTAGACTCTATAAATGGTTGGAATGGAACACTTACCTGATATGGAGTGGGATCTTGGGTACCTTCTTAGAGACCTTGAAGCGGTTTATATCCCCATAGACATCTGTGAAGTACACTCCAGCCACACTTGTCACCTGGTTCCCAGGGAAACTGAACAGCACCTTGTCACGGCCATGTTGACTGGCCCAATACCAGGCCTGGCCTCCAATGAGCAAGCCCCCACCACGCTTCACAAACTGGATCAGCTTCTCAGTCAAGGTGTCGTTGTAGGCATCAATGCAATAAACTCCCAGAGCTTCTCCAGGCTCAGGCTGAACCAATGCATTTATCCCAGAGTCACCTAGGATGTTAACTAATGGTGCTAAGGAAGAATGTACTGCAATGGGAGCCCCTGGGCAGGGGCAGAGCCAGCTCACTGCATTGAGGAGAAATGGAACCAAGCCAGCATGCATCAGGTAGCCCTCATGGGATACGACCACCAGGCGGCCTTGGCCATAGAAAGAGGCAGCAATGAGCACCTGACCCTTGTCATTCACCATCACTGGGAAGGCAGCCTCCCCAATAAGAAGGAGTTCACAGGGAGTGCATTCTTTAGGGAGATCCCAACTGGTCACTCCATTCATGAGGGCTTCAAAAGCAGCATCAGGAGTTGTTGCCATGGTTCTGCCCAGCTGCTGCAGAGGAAGCAGAGACTCAGGTTGGTTAAAACAGAATGAGGAAGCAGTAAGAAAGGCAATTAACTAAATGCTTTCGGTCCAGAAAATAGATTAGTTTCTCCCTTTGAGGATAAAGTGAAGCACAAAACAGACGAGGAATCCACTTTCATGACTTAATACATAAGAAATGTAAAGACAATAAATAAGTAGGCTTATAAATAAATACAACTGCAGCTGTTTCCAGTTGCCATCTGTTGATGAACTATGAACCAGCCACTGGGAAGACTGCTGTAGACTACATGCCAGGAAAGACCTGGTATGAATGTGGGCTTAAAGCTGAGATCTGAAATGGTGTGGGAGGAACATTTTCATATGAGGCACACCAGGGCAGCAGTAGAGTGAAGGGCAGAGAGGAACATGTCCTGAGGTAGATAAGGAGGTGCAGCTTCCAATAGGACCTGATGAATCAAATGCTGGGGTTGACTTGGTGTTTGTTTTATTCTTTCAGGCAAAAGAGTCACATGACCTGCTAGAAACAGCATTAGTTAGGTCATGGGACCTTTCAGAAAGTGCATCAATTCTGGCAGCTTTGCTTTCCTTGTTGGAAATGGCTTCCAAATGATCAAATCTGTCCTACTGGAAACACCCCTCCCCACCCCACCCCACCCAACCCCACCCCACCCCACCCCACTCCTTTTGATGTGTGGACAAAGTCTTTTCAAATTCTTCTGAAGCTTGGTATGTTGAGAGCTGAGCTTATTCCAGTATCCACTTCAGACTTTTCTCTCTCTGGACCAATCACTCAGGCCTGAGGACCATTGTTTGACAGATTAGACTATGTGTGGTATAAACACAGTGAGCAATGCAAGTGCTTCTCTCTCTTCCCTTTCTCCTTCCCTTGAGTGACATGGGGTGTAGCTGGTGATCTACACAACTTTGTTATTCCCACATCTGAGTAGCTCACCACAGGGGACCTCCTCCACCTTCACTCACATGATTGACAAGGGAACTCTACAATGGCGGTGAGCTCACATCCTAAGTTAGTTTCAGGTACTCGAGAGAGCTGTGGATACTTGCCCAGGGCCCCTTGAGGTGCATCCTAGGAGGATCCCTGGAAGAGTTGAGCTGTGTAGCAGTCAGATCTAGACAGCTAACACTCACCCTTGTTGGGTTTCTCCCTTCCATTTCTTTTGTTTCTCCCTATGTTCTTCACTTGGGTTTTCAGGGCTCTGTCACAAATAGCCTTCTGTGGAGAACCTGCACATATCAGACCCCAATGTCCCTCATATCTCCTTCGTTCATTCTGTTTGCATGAACTGTTAACAGCTCAGGTAGACCATTTCCTCTCACCTGTTCTCATAGGCCAGTCCTTTTAGCTCATGGCCATGACCAGGCTGAGCTGAGCTGGCCTGGGTGTGAGGAATGCATCCCCACCTTCCATATCCTTGAGGAAGAACTGTATAGAACCCTGTCACTTTTCAGCCACTCCTCTGTGAGGTGAAATGTTTCTTGGTGTTGGCATGTCTGTATGTGCCTCACCACCCCCACCTCATAGCACTGCTCCCAGGAAAGTGAACTGTGGGAAATTCTGCTTAGGGGTGGGAAAGGCAGCAGGTAGATCAGGAATCCCAAATTCAATGTCTCATTAAGTTCGTTTGAGAAGAAAATCCTCTCATTTTCTCCAAGTTTGGCAGGAAGAGCAAACAAACACAAACAGTCCCAGCACCCCGTAACTAAATGCGTTTTCATGCACGTGTGAGCACGCACATTTTTCAAAGTTGTGGCTCAAATTCAAAGAGCAAAGATAAAGGAGTTCTGAGTTAATTAGAAAACTGTACCAGTCAAATAAAACTAAAAGAAAAACAGACCTGTGAGAAGATACACTGACTGTCGGGAATGGCGTCCAGTAGCCTTCTGGCGCTTTAAGGATTTCCTTTCTGAGTCGCACAAGTGCCAAGACACTCAGCAGCACACTGGAAGAAACCAGGACAGAAAGCTCCCACAATGGGGTAGCTGCAATTGGATCTTAGCAGCAGAGTGGAGCGCTGTTTGAATAAAGGTGTTCTGTGGGCGGGGCCTCCAGGTGCGGAGCTGTGGAGAGCGGGGTCATTAGGCAAGCTTGCTCTCGGAGTGAATGGCTTTTTTGAGAGCAGATTTGCGTCTGGAGGGCGGAGCTTCTCAGGGGCGGACCTTTTCCAGGGCAGGGTTATCCAGGGAACAGGGCTGGTTATGAGCTGGGCTGTCCTATTGGATGAGCTACCCAGGGAACTGGTTAGTTGTTCCCTGTTCCCGAAGCGAAGCTCTCTATGAAGCTGGACTATTCCAGTATCTGGGAAGTCCGACCGCACTTGGAGTGATCCTCGTTCCACGTGATGCTAACCTCACCTTGAGTAGGGTAGCACAGACCAGCCTGATTCTGGACCCCACCCTATCTGGAGAGGGTAATCCCCGCGTAGCAGTTAACGGACCAAGAAGGAAAAACATCAAACTCCAAATCACGTTATTCAGATTTAGGGCGAACGTCACCTAACAGTTGGGCTGCCACACCAGGAATCTGACTCCAACTGGCTTGGTGCCACACCAGTGCCTAACTGCACTGTTTACATATCCAAGCTCCGGCGGCAGGGTCTGCCCCTTAGTGGCCGTCACTGGCAGTACAGCTGTCGTGACGGGGGTTGTGGGGAAGGAAAGCTGATCCAGGGATATTTTCACTGGGAAAAAAAAAAAAAAAAAAACCTGACTGTGATATCATATACACAGAGAAGACTGAGCTGAAGACGTTCAACTATAGTTATTGCGTGGATACTGCCTGAATTTCTTCCCGAAGGGGTGAGAATAATGAAAGTAGAAGAGTGGATTAATGTATCTGCTTGAACACAGCTTTGCATAGTAGTATAATGTTTTTACTTCCTTTAAATTAATTGATTTATTTATTCACCTTACAACACAATATTAGCTTTTCATCTCCTCATACAATAGAAAGAGATGCAGAAACTCACTCTCATGAAAGTCTTACCCCGCTTCCATCTTTCCCTTCTCTTTTAAGAAGGAGAAGCTCCCCTCTAAATGTCACCATTCTACTACATATGTGCAGGAGGCCTGTGTCCAGCCCATGCTTGCTCTTTGGTTGGTGATTCAGTCTCTAGGGACCCCAAAGGATCCAGGTAAGTTGACTCTGTTGGTCTTTCTGTCGAGTCCCCGACCTCTTCGGGCTCCTCAATCCTTCTCCCAACTCTTCTGTAAAACTCCCTGAGCTCCATTTAATATTTGGGTGTGAGCCTCTGCATCCCTTTCACCCATGGCTGATGGGTGAAGCTTCTCAGGACAGTTATGCTAAGTTCCTGTCTGCAAGCACAACAGAATATCTTTGTCTTAGGGTTTTACTGCTGTGAACAGACAACTCTTATAAGGACAACATTTAATTGGTGCTGGCTTACAAGTTCAGAGGTTCAGTTTATTATCATTAAGGTAGAAACATGGCAGCATCCAGGCAGGCATAGTGCAGGGGGAGTTGAGTGTTCTATATTATCATCAGAAGGCTGCTAGCAGAGTACTAACTTCCAGGCAGCTAGGACTAGGGTATTAAAGCCCACTTCCTCTGTGACACACCTACTCCAACAAGGCACAACTCCAAATAGTGCCACTCCCTGGGCCAAGCATATACAAACAATTACAGTCATTAATAGTGTCAGGGATTGGTTCTTGCCCATGGGATGGGTCTCAATTACAGCCATTCATTGGTTGGCCATTCTCTTGGTATCTGCTCTGTTTTGACCCTACACTTCTCATAGGCAGGAGACACTTTGGGATGAAGATTTTGTGGGTGGGTTGCTGTCCTTATACCTCCACTGGAAGTCTTGGGGAGTAGCTACTTCAGGATCCATATGCCCCATTGCTAGAAATCTCAGCCCCCATAGACTCTGTGGAGCCTCTCCCATCTCAGGCCTCTGTACCATCCTAGAAATTGTGCCACACCACAGCCAATCTCCATTATTTCACCTGCTCTCCCTACATATGATGTTCTCCTCCCTCGTCCTGCTTACCTCCCCATCCCCTCGTCCACCCAGTACCCCCTCTCCCATTGACCTCCAAAATCTATTTTGTTTTCCCTTCTAAGAAAGGTTCAACCATACTCTCTTGGGCCCTGTTTGTTATTTGGCTTCTTTGGGTCTAATGATTAGAACATGGTTATTCTGTAATTTATGACTAATATCCACTTATAAGTGAGGATATAACATACATGTTCCTTGGGTCTGGGTTACCTCACTAAGGATAATATTTGCTAGTTCCATCCATTTGCCTGCAAAATTCATGATGCCCTTGTTTTTAATGGATGACTAGTGTTTCATTATGTAAATGAACCACATTTTCTTAGCCATTCTTCAGTTGATGGCCTTCTATGTTGTTTCCAGTTACTGGCTATTATGAGTAAAGCTGCTATGAATATAGTTGAGCAAGTGTCCTTGTGGAATAGTGGAGCATCTTTTGAGTATATGACCAGTAGTGGTATAGTTGTGTCTTAAGATAGAAACTGCCAAATAAATTTCCAGAGTGCTTGTACAAGTTTTCACTCCCACCAGCAAAGGAGGAGTGTTCCTTTTGCAGCACAGCATGTGCTGTCTCTTGAGTTTTTGATCTTAGTAAATCTGACTGGTATAAGGTGGAGTCTCAGAGTAATTTTGATTGGCATTTCTCTAATGATTAAGGACTTTGAACATTTCTTTAGTGGCTTCTCAGCCATTTGACATACCTTTGTTGAGAATTCCCTGTTTAGCTCTGTGCCCTATTTTTTAATTGGGTTATTTGAATTATTTGTGTGTAGCTTCCTGAGATCTTTATATATTTTGGATATTAGTCCTCTGTTAGATACAGAGTTAGTGAAGAACTTTTCCCAATCTATAGGATGTCATTTTGTCCTAATGATGGTGTCCTTTGATTTACAGAGCTTTTCAGTTTCATGAGGTCTCATTTATTAATTCTAGACCTTTGAGACAATGCTGTTCTGTTCAGAAAGTTGTCTTCTACATTGACAAGTGCAAGGCTATTTCTACTTTCTTTTCTATTAGAGTTAGTGTATCTGGTTTTATGATGAGGTCTTTGCCTCATTTGGACTTGAGTTTTATACAGGGTGATAAATATGGATCTATTTTCATTCTTCTACATGTAGACTTACAGTTAGAGCAGCACCATCTGTTGAAGATGTTCTCTCTTTTCCATTGTATGGTTTTGGCTTCTTTGTCAAAATTCAAGTGTCTGTAGGTGTTTTGGTTTTTGATTCAATTCTTTTGATCTCCTGTTTTTTTCTATAACAAATACCATGTAGTTTTTATTACTATTGCTCTGTAGTACAGCTTGAAATCAAGAATAGTGATACCTCCAGAAGTTCTTTTATTGTTCAGGATTGTTTTAGGTATCCTGAGTTTTTTGTGTTTTTTTTTCAGATGAAGTTGAGAATTTTCCTTCATGATATGTAAAGAATTGTGTTGAAATTTTGATGGAGATTGCATTGGATATAGATTGATTTTGGTAGGCTGGCCATTTTCATTATGTTAATCCTACCGATACATGATCATGGGAGATTATTCCATCTTTTGATATCTTCTTCAATTTCTTTCTTTAGAGACCTGAAGTTGTTGTCATATAGGTCTTTCACTTGTTTGGTTAGATTTACACCATAGTATTTTATATTATTTGTGGCTATTGGCTATTGTGAAGGGTACTATCTCTCTAACTTCCTTTTCAACCCCTTGGTTGCTTATGTAGAGTAGGGCTACTGATTTCTTTGAGTTAATGTTGTATCCAGCCACTTTGTTGAATATATTTATCAGCTGTAGGAGTTCTGTGGTAGAATGTTTGGGATTACTTATGCATACTATCATTTCTTCTGTGAATTGCGATACTTTGATTTCTTTCTTTCCAATTTGTTTCCTGTCAATCTCCTTTAGTTGTCTTATTGCTCTAGGTAGAACTTCAAGTACTACATTGAAGAGATAGGGGGAGAGTGGACAGCCTTATCTTGTCCCCAATTTTAGTGTTTTTCTACATTCAAGCTATTCCACAAAATAGAAACAGAAAGAACATTGGCAAACTCATTCTTTAAGGCCACAGTCACCCTGACACCTAACGAAAACAAAGCCTCAACAAAGAAAGAGAATTTCAGTTCAATTTCTCTTGTGAACATTGTTGTAAAAACATTCAATAAAATACTTGCACACCTAATCCAAGACCACATCAAAGACATCATCCACCATTAACAGGTAGCATTCATCCCAGGGATGCAGGGCTGGTTCAATATACAAAAATCCATCAACACAATCCGCTCTATAAACCAACTGAATGAAAATAACCACATGATCATCTCACTAGATGTCAAAAACAGCATTTGACAAAATCCAACATCGCTTCATGATACAAGTCTTAGAGAGAGCAGGGTGCAAGGGACATATGTACACAAAATAAAGGTGATATGCACCAAGCTAGTAGCCACCATCAAATTGCTTTTACTTCTATGACATGTTGTTTTGTTTGGTTTCTTGAGGGGAAGGAAAGGAACAACAAAAGAAAAAAGTAGACTCTGAATGCTCGCTGAACTCAGAATGCCAGGCTCCAGAGCTGCTGGGAGTGCCTTTGTTCAACCCACCCTGTCTGTGACAGGTTATGGCTGTCCAGGTTAAGTAATACACATGCCTTTCCCTCCCTTTAAGCAAGTTGCAGAATGTTAAAGATGTGTTTCTTAGGAAAATCAAATAAGTACTTTTATATTGCTACCTGGGTTTGAAAAGTCCCAGAACAAGTTGGGGTGAGGAGCAGTTGGGATCTCAAATATTTAGAGTTTTGCATCTCAAATATTTAGAGATTCTATCCCAGAATTTGCATAAAAATGTTACATGTAGTGGTTCACTCTTATAATCAGAGTACTAGGAGACAGCAAGAGAAAGTTCCCTGGAGCTCTCTGGCCAGGCCAT